CCTCTTTACTGGGGTGCCAACAAGCATGAAAAATGTTGCTGTCAGGATCAGCTTATTTCTTATTAGGCCCTCGGTGGTTTCATTAATATTTACCACACCTAGAAATGGCTTTCTGACACATTATTGCTTCCCTTGCACTGCACAGTAAAATCTTCCTCCAGTGAAAAGATTGTATGTTTTCCTGTCAGATGTTTGCCCATTTGTCCATCTGTTCATGTGCAATATATTTTGAAAAATAGACATCAGGGGTGCAATTAGGCAGACTGAGCACTCCACTTAGACAATTAGTCACAGTACATCGCACGTGGGTGGTGATTTTGGTACCGGGATCTTTGCCACACAGCAACAAATATTTTCTACTTCAGATTAAAATGTATTTCAGTATTAGTTTTAGTGTGGGAGAACAATGGTGGAAGAAAGATTCAGATGCAGCTGCCAACACACCTAAGGGCGAACTCAGCTGATCAATTACCTGGTTAATGGGAGCAGATCGATAGAAGTGGGGCTGTAGGCATGATGCAAAGGTGGCCACATGTTTTAGAATAATAAACAGGAGGGCACAGGATAAAAAAAGCAGTGACTTGAATACCAAGGAGATGTTTAATAATGTATGAGATGAAAATTTAGACATGAATAGACATCATGCAGTAGTGTGGAGAATGGCTTCTGTATCAAAGCATCTTTGTTGGTACGCATGTGTGTGTTTGGATGGGAAAAACAGAATGATGTAACAGCAAATGGATAAAAGGCACAACAGCTGAAATAAAGCAAACAGCAGCACTCTGAGGTCCACTCAGCCTTTGCTCCAGCAATAACCTGACCATCACAATAAGCATCTGCTCTCACCATGTCGGTGTCTGAGACCGGACCAAAGCTGGTGACGAAGATGTTGGTCTTCACCTCGGTTACCCTGTCTGGATCAGAGAAAAACCAAAGTGGAATTAAGGGAAATCCAAAAAATATATATATACATCAATTGCTCAGAGACTTACATGTTTAATCATTGTTTTTCAACCATGATTAAAAATTGTTTTTCAATTGGTTATGGTCTTCAACCATAACCAATGCTATATAAATCTTGATTCAACCAAAGTTTGACAATGGGTATTGTGGCATTTAAAATTATCTTAAATTGCAATGTTTCCAAAAATGTGTAAAAACAAATTTTAAAATTACATAAATTTGTGTGATATGGTGACAAATAATGTTTTCGGTAACAGGTCGACACCGTATGCTTTTTCAGAGATAAAAATAACCTGACATGCAGTTGAGAGTAAGTTCGCTGGTTGTTTTGTTACATTTTAACCTCTCCTTATATCTTCTACTCCTTTAGGTTATGAGCCTCCAGACCAATACATGCCTTTAATGTTGTTTTTCATAATCATTCTTTACAGCGCATGTGGTATTTTTTTAGGACACTAAAAACATTCCAAAATGGTAGATTGCCCCATCCTGACTTATCTAGCAAATATAAAATGCTCCTAAACATGTTTCCTCCACTACTGTTGACTGTTGACCAAGTGCCTTTGGTTCATTAACAAGCTCCTCCTCTGCAGATGTGGACTGTGTCTCAATTTCTGACTTGATCAGCTTCACCATTAGATCTGGCAAAGAAATCAAGATTAAGAGCTTTTAATCCTAATCAATAGTTTTAATATTTTTGACACACTTTAGCTGCTTTTTAGCTTCCTATGACAGCTTCTAGGTGTCTCCCATGATGATAAATGGTTAAAGTCGCAATTAAGAACAACTCCATATAGATAATGAGTTAAGATCTAAATCAGACATGTTTTTAATTGGTGAACCGGATTCTTTTTTAGGGGCAAAAAGCTAAATCACACTTTAACCCCCCCCCCCCCCTTAATTAGTAAGCAAATGATCAAAATAATCAAGGTATCAAATAATTGGTGTGAAATACATTTATTGTAGGAGGAAATATGAAAACAAAATAAAAACTCTAAAAGAATAAAATGAATATACTCCATCTCAAATGATTTGCCCCTACTATACTTTTTAGTGCAGAAACCTTTCATGTTGATGTTGGCATGGTAACCAGAAGTATATTTTCAAATAGATTTTTGACCTATCAAAATTGATCAAAGAAATGTTCTAATTACTACATGATTTTTCTTATCCCGTAGAATAAACATTGTTATGTGTAATAATAATAATTCAACTTTATTAATCTCACACTGGAGAAATTTACCTCTGCATTTAACCCATCCCCTTGGGGAGCAGTGGGCTGCCATTGTGCAGCACCCATGGAGCAGTGTGGCGTTAAGGGTCTTGCTCAAAGACCCAAAGTGCAGGCTGTGGGGATCAAATTGGGTACTTGCAAACTTCTCAGAGCACAAGTGCACTGCTCTAATCACTAGGACAACACTCCCCTCTCAGTGTACCACACTAGACATTCTGTGGGTGTATTATATTTGAAAAATGAATTGTTTATAAGAAGTACTGTAGGTGTAGCTATGACCTAAGTTGGGTGAAGGTTTTTTTTCCCGTTTTGATTTAATTGCATATAGAATTACTTCCCGATGGAAAAATTTGTGCCACACTACACAGACATGATTTGCCCAAATTATACATTTTCTGTTATTTATAACAGTTCAATTAGGTTTTAAGTGTCATTGTAACAATCCGCTTCAGGCTTCATTAATTGCTTTGGAGTCATTAAGCATTTAATTTGATTATCCTCGTCTTATAAATGTATACATTTGGTTGTCACAATATAATCCTCAAACTCATGAAGGCTAAAAATGCCAAAAATGTTTGCACTTCCTGACAATATTGCAATTACAAATTGCCTATTACTTGAAGTTCAGCTTCTGTTTTAATGCCTGCAAACCTTTTGAAGATCAGGACCTGCAAGTTCAGAATGAGCAAAACGAGGATGCTCAAACCAGAATAAATGACAATCTTGCAATCTAAACAATAGCAAATAAAAGAAAGAATGATAAGCAATCAAACAGCTGAATCTACCACCAAAAAGAAGTTCAGGTGAAAATGCATTGCACAAATTTGAAACACATTTTATAGGCTGGGAAGTATGTGTTTACTGTTTGAAAACATTCAGAGTGCCTTTTATGCCCGGGGACTTCGGGATCTGTGGGAACAAGGACAATACCTAAAGTTCCTTTATTCAGCAACAACAGTCCCAGACATTTGCTTTTCATGCAGTCTGAAGCATTCAGTACAGATGGGTCTACTGAACCATGTTTAATTGGGAAGACACAACCTGCATGTGCTAGGGACTGTGCATTCCTCTGTGCAACTATCCAAATGTCTGCTTAACTCCTGCCAGTTTGGACAGAGAGGAAGGAGAGCATTTGCAAAACCCAAATGTTCAACTATTACACAGGATGACATCAGTTCAGAGAGATAAATTCTTTGGCCAAACAAACTGGGAGCAAACAAACTGTTCCCTGCTTTATTAGCAGGACATTATGGAAGCACTGATGATTAGTCAGAGATTACAGAAAAATGATAAAAGCTTTTCAGTTAATCCAATTCAATTCAGTTCAATTCAATGGAGTCTATTTATATAGCAGCAATTCACAACACATGACATTTCAAGGCACTTTACAGAGACAACACTGTAAGACTGGTTAAGAAAACCAATTACTGTTAGAACCCTTCATACATGTTGCACATTAAATGACCTGTTTGCAATATTTCTGTTGTAGATATATTTTTTTTTCAATAATACTGTTCTTTTAACTCGTTTTCAAACTGTGTTTTTATATATGGATCACTGCCAGATGTAGAAGACAAATCTTTATCTCAGAAAATATAATGGAGAATTAAGATATCTTACTATTTTATCTTAACCCTGTAATGTCTCTAAAATGTCTTTCACATTCAAATGAAAAGATAATACCACAGATACCTGCTAAGATGTAGTTGGACTGAGTGAGGATGGGTTTTTAATCAAGGAGAAATAAAGTTGTCAGGAGTAAGAAATTAAAAAAGCATAAATTTCTTCTCTTGATTGAAAACAGAAAAAAGGAACTCAAGTTGTTCCATCTGAAGCCAAGTTAAAAAAAAATTGTTTAAACAGTTTGGATGCAACACATGTATGACCACCTTTATAGCTACAGTATTCATATTTCCTAAAATGTTTTCACATTTTTCGATATTACAGTTTTGAAGTTGCAAAGTGCAAGACCAAAAATTTCAAATGATCTCCAATTTTCTATTATTAAAAAATGAGGGGAGAGGGGAGAGGGCTCAGTTACATAAAATTTAATCTTTTAACATCAGGGTCAATACATTTTATACATTACCAAGTAAAACTTAAAACCCCTTTCAACCTTGGCTATGACATTTATTAAGTTTGAACTTCTTGGACTTGATTTGTGAATTATTACATTTGAACTAAGAAAGCTATCCAGCTGTTTTTTTCTATGCCCAGCCAGCTGTTAAAGGAAAAGTTCGCTCACATTCAGAATTTAAACTTCTACAAGTACTTTAAGTATGAAATTATTACATACTGTTCAATAAATGATAAGGGTTTTGAATTAGGAGTAATTTTAATTAGAATGTGCTTTACTGGAGGCATCCATGTTTGTCAAAGTACACTACTGCCACCTACTGGTTTGTGACGTCACTGTGCGGTATTGGCTGTTGAGCAAGTCCCAGTGCTGTATCTGGTGTTTGTCACAACGTGCTATTATCCATGATGGTGACGACCAGTGCACTATGCGAAGCAGAGAGTAACGGATTAAAGACGTGTTTTTTCTCTGGCCAGAAGTTCGATGTTAAATCCTCCCTCTTCAAGTTGGCAATCCAACGACGAACCCGTCCGTGGAGGATCATGAATCGGAAAGGTGAAATAACTCACTTTTACCCGATGTATTCCAACATCCAACTACCATGCACGTGGGCATTGTCAGTTTAACTATAGCTCCGGTGAATTTCAATGGTGAAGTCCTCTGTAAATCTTCAATAATTGCTGATTGCAGATGTGTCTAGTACAGTAGCTCCCATGGATTTTGCTTGTAAAGCGAGAGAATGGCGCTAGGCTTACCGCACCGTGACGTCACTGCTGGAAGATGGCAGGAGGGAGGGGTTACTATATTTGGGCAAAAATGGCCGCTCCCAGACTCAGTGATCATGACCAAAAATATAGTTGTTTTATTATTTTACTGATTAATGCTAAATTTATTAAATCAACGCAAACGTATTAGTTTTATGTATAAATAATGATCTGCTGGTTATTCCTTGCTGACTGGACGTTTCCTTTATTAGCTGTCCAACATAGAAGAAGCTTTTTAAACTGAAAAAATGTAATCACTATAAGGAAAATTTGTTTCTTTAAATATATGTGTGCAAATATGTAACTCTGGCTCTAAATAATAGACGTGAATATTTCATGGTGGCATTAAAGCAAAGCGTACATTGCCGCTCCATTTAAATTTTCCGTTTCTTTCAGTTGCATTACTTAAAAAGTCTCAAAGCCCCTCTACCTTTCAGTATGTGAGTGAGAACATGCATGCAGCTGTGTTCAGCCTCCTCTCCTGGCGTTGCAAAGTTAAGGTCGGTGGAGCGTTAACCTCCCCCCCCAGATGCGACAAACAGATCTAATGTGTTTACAGCGTGGAAAACTGCATCTGATGTCATGTTGTGTCTTATTTATAAACTCAGTTAGTAAAAGCTGCATCTCAGACATCATCCCTGTGTATATTAATGCATACAGTATAGCGGTGCATGCTGAGTGCTGCAGGATTTGGTTTCCCCGGGGATTTGATGAGATAAGAGATGAGCAGAGATTTAAAAAGCATTGAATTTAAGTATTGATGTTTTCATAAGATGTGTAGGAATCCTAGGAGCTGTAGTTGCAATCAGATGTTTACATTTACTGTAAAACTAGTCAAACAATCCACTAATACTTCTTTATTAAGACAATAGTCCT